ATATGGAAGTAGGTAGTTAGGAAGAAAGATTTGGATTGGTATTGCATTCGTGCCCGGGGGAATGTCTTACTCAACCAACCCTTCAGGGATAAAACAACCCGTAACTCCAAAACCTCTATTAGTTGGGGCGAATGCCAGGAAACAAAGTAAGAAGTCGTTTGATGTCTCATACAATCTCAATCTCCGATCGGGATTGTATGAGAGAACACTAAACTAGTGACTTTACTTGGCTCTCAACTCAAGTACAGCTGTCTAACTACTAAATCGAAAGACTAATCTCAACAAGCTTCACTCCTTCTTCTGGACGGGAAGTCTTCCGGTTATGGACCAGAAATGAAGATATTCAACTGCAACTGATGGGGAATAGGCAGATTCTCTTATACTGCCTTTAGTCCCCGATCTGTTTCAGGAGGGGCTTATATCCAAATAGAAGGACTAGCGCTCCACTCCTATTTACTTCCTAAGGCCTTGGCCTTTTTAGTGTTAGTGGCTTTCTTTCTTAGTCTCTTCCCTCGGGCCAGATACTAGAATTGGCAGAGAATGCCAGGGTGTTGGAGGAGAATCTATTCTAGGCCTCTAAGTTCCTATTAGAGGGCAACTTCTTTAGCTTCAAGCTAGCTAACTTGACTACTGGTATTTCCTCCCTTTGAAGATTAAGTTTTTGCTTGTAACACAATATAAATAGTAAGCTCCTAATAATAGAACTTCCCTGCCAATGCTTTAAACTCAAAAACACTAAGGGTAGAATAGGATTGTACTGAAAAGCGAAGCTATAGGTTACGCAGTATCTCGACCAGAGGAATGATTGAGCTCTTTCTAAGCTTTAGGTATTCAATCACTCGAGCTAAGCGAAGAGGTATGAGATCACTGAAAGGAGAGGGGATTAAGCATGCTAGGTACGCAGTCACTCATAGCATACAAGGTGAGCCGTAAGGCGAACTATTAGAGTGGTGCGAAGCTCTCGACTGATAAGGAGAGGGCTGAAGGCTCCTCTTTATCTTCTCTTTGTCCAATTCCATTCCGCCTTCTAAAGGAGATTAGTTCCGTCGCAGGCCTCTTTCTTCGGGCATGAACCCGACCTGTCAAGAACTCTGATTTAACTGTCAGGCTAGCTAGATGCTTCACACATTCCATTCTATGCCGTTTTCTTTCAACTAGCCTTCTGCTTGATGGAAAGATCATTCATTTGATAACTAATCTAATGGGCTTGTAGCGCTCCCCTCCTCAATCCATAGCGTATGCGTATTATGTATATAAGGAAGTGGCAGCTTCCTCTTTGCACCTACCCGTCCGCCGTCTTGTAACTTCACTTCCTCTTTCGGAGGAGATCTTTCTTCGAGCCGCTAACCATCTCTGACTTTCCTTCCGGGCCTAGGAGTTCCGGCAAAGGAGGGTATGAAAACAGGCCCTGAAAAAGGCGACCCAGCTTCAAGCCGGTAAAAGCCTACTCTGATTGCCTTCTCCCTTGTCTCGCCCTACTAAGAAAAGTCAAAGTCTATGCGGCTAGGAACTGCTCTTATGAATACCCGGCTTACACGAATAGGACTGCTCCAGAGAGCTCAGACTGAGACTGACGGTTAGGTGCTTCGGTTCGCTGTTGGGAAGGGATGGATGGAAGAACTTCCGGAAGCGGTAAGTAGAAGGCAAGGTAAATAAAAAAGAAGAGCTAAGCGCATCGAGGTACGAAGTGCTTTGAGGTTCATCGGGAGTCTTGAAGGCGGCTAGGCGAGTTAAAAGCCTTTCTTTCCTTGCGCTACGAGCAGGAGCTGACTATCTCAAGTCCTACCTATTTGCTAGAAGCAACCGTAGGAACGGAAAGAAAGAAGCTTGCACTACATAAAATAAACAAATAATTCGAACTGTCACAAGAGTAAAAATGGAAAACCCCCCGGTGGTTCATCCCCCTATGGATTTTCTCTTGAGCGATCGACCTATAGCATGTTGGGAGATGGGGCTGAAGCCGAACAGTGGAATTCATCAGCTGCTCTTTTCTTCTTCCTGTTGAGGACGGACATAAGCCGAAAGCGGGAATTACTTTATTTAGTAGTAGGGCGAGGGAATCTTCTTTCTTAGGCGATGGACTGGTTCTAGACCAAATTTTGACAAAGAAGTTCATGTTCCTGGGTCACCAACCTTCGTTTTGCAATACTGCTAATCCAAGGGCTCAGCAAGTAAGCCTTATCATGGGTACTCCGGGAGTCAGTTATGCTTCTCTTGTCTCCAAATAAGCTGATTCTCCAATCCACTTTTCTGTGGTAAGGGCAATCCCCTACACGATCTGCTTCATGTGGACGCTTAGAGTCTGGCAACTCGATGAGATTTAGTGTTCTTCTCTAAATCCTTTGAAGAAGTCATGTACTTCTTCCTCAGGAAAGGCAAACTTTTCTTTCTATTTGCTTTCTCCTTTAGAGACTTTGGAGGGGCTGTTTCTTCTTTGACTTTGAGAAGATTCGGCTTTAGTCTCTTTGGTTTGGCTAGAAGTTTCTCTTGGTCTCATGTTCTCATCTGAGGTAGCACCTGATGTTATAGGTTCCACCACAAAGGCTTGTTTTGTCGCTGTCTTCTCAGGAGTTCTACCCTTCTTTCTTACTTTATCAACGAACTTAGATCGTCGGGCGATGTGACTAAGATAGTTCTAAATATCTGTGGCAAGGGAAGCATCTGATAAAGCATCTGAGCCGCCACAAGCTCCCATATAGGCTCGAAAGCCATAACATAGTCAGGAGTTGAAGGTCGGGAGCGTCGAAGCAGACCCTTCCGTATCATCCATTTTTCCATGACCAACAGCATCGCCATATGAACCAGCAGCAGCAGAATTGCCTAATTATTCACCTTTGCTAGGCATCCCTACCCATTGCTAGAACAAGAGCCTGTCTCAGAGCCGGGAGAACCTGAAAGATATCGATTATTTTCATACAAGTTCCCTTTTGAGATCGAGACCCGAGAAAGGAGTAACAGAGACAGAAAGGGAGGCGGGGGCATTGCTATCAGAGGCAACGGGGGCAGAAGCAAGGATGGCAGTACGAATTCTAAATCGTTTTGAATATCCTCCCATTGCGGGGATGCCTAGGCGCCACCGTCCAATTCCAGTGCCTGTTAGAGATCCGGTTTACCGAGTAGTTGATTTGATCCAGTCCCCCCGACAGTTCGATAGCCGCTTCCGCTTCAGGTCTCGTAACCTGTTCATAATGATCCCGCGTAGGCATCTGCCTTTATTAGACCTCCAGTGGGATGGTATTCGTGAACCTCTTTCTGGATCTCTACTTTATAACAATATTACTTCTGGTGCCATTATTCCTACTTATGCGGCTATAGGTTTGTACTTTGACCCAATACGGGAAGCGGCATCCGTTGATGAATGGTTATACAACGGCGGTCCTTATGAGCTAATTGTTCTACACTTCTTACTTGGTGTAGCTTGTTACATGGGCCATGAGTGGGAACAATATTTCCGTCTGAGTATGCACCCTTGGATTTATGTTGTATATTCAGTTCCTGTTGTGGCTGCTACTGCTGTTTTATTGATTTACCCAACTGGTAAAGGCAGCTTTTCAGATGGGATGCCTCTAGGAATCAATTGTACAAAAAACATTTGGATTGTATTACAGGCTGAGCACAACATCCTTATGCACCTGCACCCATTTCACATGTTAGGCGTAGCTGGTGTCTTCGGCGGCTCCCTATTCAGTGCTATGCCTATGCATGGTTCCTTGGTAATCTCTATTTTGATCAGGGGAACCCCTTTCTCGCGTAAAAGCGATCAGAATTCAAACACGCTTGCTTTAATAGTTTCTATTCGACTGAACGAAAAGACGACATTCTCTTACGGTGAGAACCCACTTGACTCGCCCACATGGCCCATTATTCATCGCCCCAAATCTTCTTAACGATCAGTCTTTACCGGCCCTTTTCCAGAGGAATCTCTCGCTCCTTTTTGGAGCGCCCTTCTTGACTCGAGTAAAACAAGCTACCGACCATCCAATATGGTTCCACAAAACCGGTTCTCTTACACCAAACAAGTTCAAAGCTATAAGTAACAAGACTCGGTCCTGCTCTGTTCTAAATCTAAAGGCACAGGTTTCAAAACAAATAAAGAAAGAGTGGAATAAGTTATTCCAAACTTACTTTCATCAACGATCTACGACCACTCTGATCTAAGGCGAAGCTTATCATAGACAAATATCACAAAAGCAAGATTCCAATAGTAACTTCCTTATTCGATAGTACACTCTTTCGCTTATTAACAAGACTTCCGTCGATTTCCCCTCGAGGTTGACCTCACATCGCTTTATTCAAATACGATAATTAAGTCAGGGGTGGCTAAAAAGCGATTCTTTCAAAATCCCCCACCTTAGAAGAGAAGCAAGAAGAGAAGAGACAGTCTGACTATCTCTTGTGCCAGAATTCAGGCTCAAGGCCACTTAACGAGACGAAAAGAAAGAGATTCATCTCACTCCCTCGCCTTAGATGCAAGCTCTATTAAGCCCCCACTTTTCTTTCTAGATGAGGGATAATACTAGCCAAAAGGGGACATTTAGAGGTTGTTAAGAGACTTCCGCAGGTGGAATGAATGCTGCTCTTGTTCTTTCAAGGGGCGCTCATTAAGCAGCCTTGGGCAAACCTTTGGGATAGATTCCCTCAACAGATACTTTCAATGCGAGAAAGCCAGCAGTTTAGGTTCTGAGCTAAGCATTCGTGAAGCCAATCCCTTCTGGGTTCATCCCTGCTCTTCCCGTCTTTACAAGTCAACAATCGCCTTTTCTTTCCTATTAGTAAGTCAAATCTGGCTGTTCTTTTATTCCAGCCTTGCATTGGTGAGGAATTACCTTATTTATTCCCTCTATTAAGAGAAAATACTACCACCGGGATTCTATTACCATAGATAGGCGCAGCAAGCTCGCTTCCCACATTTTATTCTCTGCTTTCCTTCTGAATGAGAAGCTCCTTTGGTTAGTAGAAAGGGCTACCACATTTCGTAATTTCGTAATCTATAAGTAGAGTGAGTTGGGGAAGGCACCCTCAACAGCTTTCTTACTGGAATAGCTTGGCCTTCCGTGCCGGCGTTAGTGTCAATTCCGTCCCCAGGCTGGACCTTCTCCTGTCTAAAGCGCGGCTGGTATCCTGCGTCCCTCTCCTTTCAGTCGAGCGACTCCGTACCTATCGCTCGAGGCACTTCCTCCTCTGAGGGTTAGGATCTTTGGATCGGTCTCACCTCGATCTCTGATCTATAACATTCCCTTACCTTCCTCTCTCGTGCAGGTGCTGGAGAAGGAAATCAAGATACATTTTCCCTCTCGCTTCAGCTGCCTACGCTCTTCTCCTTTCAGTCGAGTGTTTTTCAATTCTCTCTAGTTACAGAGCGAGGAAAGTCTTCTCTGCCCCGAAGTTCAAGCAAGTTCCCATCCTCGGACTATCGGTTATCACTTCCTCTCGCTTTGCTCGAGATCTCCGAACCTTCCCTTCTATCTTGAAAGCGTCCTTAAAGGGAGAGTCACTTCCTACCTCATATAGCTATATGAGTCACTTCCTACCTCTCCTTTACAGTCGAGCTAAATAAATCCTCTCTAATACCACCCGGCCTAGCTATCGTAATGCGTCCCGATGAACGGCTTTACGTCCTAACACTATTGAGTTTGCTGGTTCCCGAACGCTAATAAGAATCATGTAATAGAATCAAATCAGTTCATTTCTAAATCGCATTTCTGGGAAAGCTATATCTTTTTTTCATAGTGAAGTAGCCCTCTTTTTGATGTCTGAGTGCCTCCCGTGCTGAGAAATTTCCTAGGCTAAGAAGGACAGCAACTTCAATTCAATGACTCAAACTATCTTTCCTCTCCGCAATAGAATTTCTTAATGTTGCCCTAGGCATTACTACTCATGAATGGGATCTTTTCTGCAGGAGCGAAGGTGTTTTCAGCAAGTGGAGGCAAGGCTAAAAGTTGTCTAAGGTACCCGAGCGTAACGATTTGTTGAGCTAAGGGCGAGCTGTCTTGAATTTAGGTTGTGGCTTAATTGCGCTTATCTTGATTATCCTAATAATCAAGACTAGTCGGTGAAACTCCCTCAGAGCAAAAGATAAAGAAAGACTCCCGAACCAAAGAAAGAGATGAATCAGTCCATCTCCCATAAACTAGCTAATATCCGGATTAGTCCTCAGGTGTGGAAACTTACCCCTAATCTAAGGGCATTCCTATCTCTCCTCTATTTCGAGGCCCTCTGCCGAGTGTCGAGTTAACTTATGCTTCCTGTCCTAACTACTTCGCCTAAACCTTTTCAGAGGTCAGGAATTTACTCTATAATAAATAACAGATAACTAGAGCTGTAAGGTCAAATCAAATTTCTATATCAAGATAAATAACCGGCCCGGTCCTTAGATTTATTTACGGCCTTCGAGGAGCCGTATGAGGATCTCATGTACGGTTCTGTAGTAGAGATGGAATTGAGAAAGAACCATCAACTATAACCCCAAAAGAAAGAACCAGATTCCGTAAACAACATTGAGGAAGAATGAAAGGAATATCCTCTCGAGGTAATCATATTTGCTTCGGTAGATATGCTCTTCAGGCACTTGAGCCCACTTGGATCACATCTAGACAAATTGAAGCGGGGCGGCTGGCATTTCGTGACATTGCCCGCCGCGGTGGAAAAATATGGGTACGCATATTTCCAGACAAACCGGTTACAGTAAGACCTACAGAAAGACGTATGGGGTCAGGAAAAGGATCTCCCGAATATTGAGTAGCTGTCGTTAAACCAGGTAGAATACTTTATGAAATGGGCGGAGTCACAGAAAATATAGCCAGAAAACCCTATTGCAATAGCAGCATCCAAAATGCCTATACGAACTCAATTCATTATTTCGGCAAAATAATTAGAACCAAAGGAAAGAGCGATGATTCTCCTTTCTTTCTGGGTGGGTTTCATCCCTAATAGAGAGGACTGACCTCTCTTGAACACATTCTATCACTCTCTTTTCTGAGCTGGGAATACTGTCTATCAGTCTAATTTCAGTCTCAAGACAGGGAGTCCCTTACCTTCTTTATCAGGCTTAGACGGGGAATGAGAGGAAACCCAGCTAAACAGATTCTATTAAAAGGCTACCTTTGCCTCAATCAATGGGAAGAGAACTGGGACATTGAGGCAGAGAAGCCAAAGTCTACTAGAAAGGACTAGTCCGATCAATCAGAGGCTGTCATAGCCTAAAGAGATGTTAGTGGATACAGGATAAGAAGAAATTCTCAGGCTTTGCCTACTTTGTAGCTTCTTCTACGGCTTAGCGCCTCCGTCAGTTCCGGCTGAAGATAGGGGAGGGAGCTTGAATATACTATTGATCAGTTAGCTTCTAAAGTAGTAGATTCCAAGGCTGCTTTTCCTATTGCTTCTAAAGTTAAAGTAGCTGATTCGTTAGTATGTTCCCCGGGTAAAGGGGAAGAATGTATTCAACTGAAACCCCCTCTATAACTTAATAACTTACCAAGGAGCTAGTGTTACTACGGGATATGGCAGATCAGGCTATTGGCATTTCATCCCTGGGCTTAGGGATAGAATCGGAGCTAAGAAGAAAGGTTGCTTTCCTTACGATCTGCCCTTTAACTAGTTAACCCTACTTCCTTACTAGTTGACTTGCTTGCTGCTCAATCGGGAAATGCTACTGTCAAGATTAGAGCCGCTATATTATATGTTCTTTCTAGTCTTCAGTCCTCTATTAGACTTCTCTACTCTGTCATTTCTGCCCAGAGGAAAAGGGGATTTTGTGCTGTGAAGGTGGGATCGGTACACACGGATAAGGACTATCATGAGGCTCTATGTACTTCATTCCGTTTACCCCGCCTTCCGAATTCTACATTTCAAATTTTCCATGGAATAAGTAGGATTCAGGTGATAACGGGGATAACCATTGCTGTGGGTGAGGGAGAGAAAAAAGATTTTCTACCTTGGGTTTAGGGGATCCTTCCAAATCATAAGCCTTCTCCAGTGCCTGGGTGGGTGCGCGAAATCATCGATTCTAAGTGCGGGATTCCACTACCCTTAAATCAGTAGGGCAAGTCAATTTTACCTTCCCCGCTGGAGGATTCTGTAACCACTAGATTCTTTCGAGGGCTTGGTTTGGAGATAGCTGCAGGTTCTGAAATGCGGACTCCTCACTACGGGGTCGGATGAAGGGATTCGAAAGACAGCATGGATCGGGGAGAGGGGAAATTTTACAGCTCTATTGATCGAGAAAGCTTGGGCGGACCCCCAACCATTAGCACATTCTAAGATTCAGATGACTAATTGGCTGGAGTTGCAGAGGGAGAAAGGTGAATCCGCTCATGATGCGTGGAAAGTAGGGGAAGAGTCTGATTCAAAACTGTCTGCGATAGATCACGTCGAACTGAAGCACTTAAGAAAGAAGCTGAGAACTTTTGGTTGATTTGATGCTCATTCTGACACGGTTCATATAAAGTCACAGCACAGACATAACCTGGTTGCTGCTACTAGTCAGGCTCATCAAATGCAAACATGGCTCTTGTTGGCCTTGGCCCGGCCGTCAACTGCTTCAACAGCAGATGCGGCTGACCTAGATGTCCCATCAATAGCGAAGGAAGAAGATGAGCTGAACGCCGCTTTGCCGGAAGGGAATGCGCTAGCCGCATTGAGTAGCCATAAGAGTTAGAAGACCGCAGAAAGAAGCACGACGACTACTATCTGAATAAAATCCATCGTCTTCCTCCATAGAAGAAGTCTCCTTCTCTATTAAATGAAATGAAAGTCAACACCCATCAAAGAGTTTGCTTTAGGGCCTATGGCCTTTTCATGATTGACCTTGCACCCATCAGCCGAGGGGTTTGCTTTATCATTCTCCTTGAGAGGTAGCTTAGTAGCTTGAGTCTCACGCTCTTTCTCATGCACGCTAACAGCAACATGCTTCTCACGTTCACCACTCTTAGTGCCATGCAGGCCTTGTACACGTGCTTCTCCTTTTGGTTGCCATGCATCCAGGGGCAGTATGGGTCCAGATCAAGATGGGCATGAGCTTGGGCTTTAAAGCCCAAGAACCCGATGCCCATTCAATAGAAGAAGTTTTTCGACCTTCGGAACCTGGTTATGAGATTCGATCGAGATTCGTTGTTCGATCATGAAGCAAGCATTTTTCGTCCAGCCGGAGGAATAGTAGTTATTTCACCATTTGAATAACCTTGAAAAAAGCCTTCCTCAGCAGAGAACAGAGAGGTACTACCTACTTTCTTCCATTTTCCTTTTCTGACTGCTGTCTTAAACCTTTCTACTTTAACACAGGCACCTAATACATCCGGGACAGAAGTTGGACCGAATCTTGCAGCACCCCAACCACCTTTGGAGGAAAGCCAGATGGGACCAATCGAGGAAGCAGATCAAATTCCAACAACTGAAGACCGGGATCCATCTCCACCAACCAAACTCAAAAAAAAACGCATTCCTTCCTCCATTCACTAGCAATGAGCTAAAGAGCAATGAGCCCATTGGGCAGTCTTTACCCTTGCTCTTTGGTCCCCAAAAGCTACTGAAAGTCCTAATCGAAGAGCCATATATTCCAGTCCGGATCGAGGAGACAAACAACCAACTAGCTTATATCCTTAACTGCTAAACTGCTCCGAGTGGTTAGCGAACTATTGAAGTAGATAAGTTCCAGTCCGCATTGAGGAGACAACCCCAAGCAAGCAAGGTGAAGCAGAAGCAGCAGCTCTAACCCATTTTACCTTGGGGACAAAAACAAGCTCCAAAGAGAAGTCCCGAGAAGTACTTCTCTTAGCCATTTTCTAGTTGTTCTTCCCCTCCTTCCTCACTACGCTTTGCTTGACTTGAGTTGGGAAGAGTCATATTCCTATTATCAAACTCCCCGTAATGCTTGTATTCCCTTACTGACCGGAAGGAACGGTTCCCCTACTCGCTTGCTAATGGACTATGGCCGGAACGAAGGCACGAACGAATAGAAGAACTAAGAATAAGAATTACATCAGTTCGAAAGTTCGGAGATAGATAGTCTCGCGCAGGAGTTGGTGATAAATCAAACTCCATAGCCTTTCCTTTAGCTCTAGTGAAGGGACGCCCCTTTAGCCCTAATAGCATCACATCACCTACGTAATAAGAGGTCCTTACAAAGGTTCAGTCTACAGATATGTAGAACTAGAAAGAGAAAAGGCCAACTGTTACCAAGTTAGAAAGAGGTAAAATGAATGTGCAGAGTCTATGTACAGGTGGAAATTGGTCCTAGATAATTGTTTATCATGATTGGTCTCGAGAATGTAGTTCGACTAATGATCAAAGAGGTACGAACAATAATGACAGAACAACGCGGAGGCGGAGCAAGTAGAAAATTCTTGCCATCGATGGTGGGCTGAGAGCCTCATTCATCACATCAATAGCTATTTGACCAGGAGATGTGAGACTCTAAGTACCATTCCCAGACATGGCCTCTTGTACGTGATCTTGTCCACGCTCAGTCTAGCCTTACTCAACACTAGATGAAAAGTGCGATGTAATGGATTCACGAAACCTCTTTCGGTCTTGCTCCGCATTCGATATGGGATATGGAGGTTGCACGGTGGTACTCTAACCTTCTGTAATAGGTAACTTCCGATCTAAAGATGAGTAGACCTCGGCATTTATTCTATCTTTCCTTGTCTTCCACAGGCCTACTCAATCGGATTATCTTATCTTTCAAGCCTAATTTAATTGGTCTGCAATCATTTACTTATGGTTTGTTGAATGAAGAAGAAGCTTGTTTCAAGATCATCTGTGCCTTCCGCAGGCACACCAGCCCATCTCACTCCAAGATGGATTATTCTAATTATGAAGGCATGGCCCTATACAATACAATGAAAAGCGGCTTACATGATCCGATTCTATTTCAAGATCCCTGAGTGGGGGAAATGTTCGGGGTTTTGACCTGAGCCACGTCGACGCAGACCAGACGGAATCCAGACTTTGGGCTTAGTTTAGAGTTCTGCCTTCTAGGCTTTTCCTGATTAAGGAAGAAGTCCAATGAAAATTGTGACAGTTGGAGGAAATTTCAATTGGCTTACTTTGACTTGTAGGCATAGCATTAGCCTATTTCCGCGAGTCAGACAGCCTTAACGCCCTTTTGGTGCTATCATCGTATATATAATAGAAGTGATCTGTTTATCCGAGAGAAAATCTTAACAGTATTTAGATTTACCTTTTGTCTTAAATTTGCCTTTCTTGTTGGAGGGGCTATTCCCAGGATCAGGATTGATCCTCCCAGGATTTAGCCTAGGCCTTGCTTCCCTTCTTTCGTGCGGGGCTATGCTGGCTTTCCTGAGTTGGGGCTCAGGGAACATGCCAGGTCGGTCTAGCCGTCAGCCCTTCTTCTCGAGCCAGGAGCCAGCCTTTTTTTGGGCTTTTTGGAATGAATGAATAAAAACTTCTGTACAGGTAGTAAATATGCCAATGACTTCTGGGATTAAGCTAGGTAGCAAATTGGCCTCTGATATTGATGGCCTGATCTCATTATCATGGGAATACGCCTTAATTAAGACCAAACCATAGGAAGGATGGCGGAATACAAAGTCAGGGCTAGGCCGATCGTCGATGAAAAAGGAAACAATGGTGTGTGGAGATGCTGGAATGGGTATATCTTCA